TCGTATAGAATAGTCTCTGCCTATAATTATATACCTTGGATAGTATCTGCTTATATTATTTAGCTCTGCATATATATATATATATATATATACGTACATATATCTCTGTATATATATTATAGTTTACATATATATATATTTGTATATGTATATTATATGTATAGCTAGCCCTGAACTTTACCTACAGAGCTGTACAGCGTTAGTTTGTGTGAGGGTTTAGGGTTTGTAAGGGCTTAGGGTTTAGGGTTTGTAAGGGTTTAGGGTTTAGGGTTAAGTGTTTGTTTCGTTTGCAGGGTATTTGTCTTATGAGGATTTCGTGTCTGGAATTAAACGGCTGAACATCGATGAAGAAGAACTTGGATTTGCACTAACAGATGCACATCTTTTCCGAGTAGGGTTTAGGGTTTAGGGTTTAGGGTTTAGGGTTTGTATGGGTATAAAGCAGCTCAGAACAATCGTTTTCTGCTTCTTTTTGTGTCAGAGGTTTGCATTCGGGCTGAGGGTTTAGATATTCAGGTATTTAGGCTTAGGGTTTAGGGTTTAGGGTTTAGGGTTTAGGGTTTGAGGTGTATGTACACCGCAGGTTGCAGAGGCGATTGACTTGACGGGTTCAAAGAGAATTAATTATTTGGAATTTCTTCAGGCGTTCCACGTGGTGGACAGCAGCTCAAATAACAACTTAGCTGAGGAAGTAAGATATATATATATATATATATATATATGTATATATATATATATATATATATATATGTATATATATATGTATATATATATATATAATGCATTCTTAATGAAAAGTTGCAGTTACTGTAATATAGTGCTACAAATAATAGTAATTAATAATTAATGATAATAAGAGTAATTATTATGATTATGATTATGATTATGATTATAATTAATAATAATAATATGGTAATAGACATAATAAAAGAGATAGCTGCTGAGTTTGTTTCTGCTTCCTTTAGTTTTGTTTGTTTGTTTATTTATTTTCTTGTTCATTCGATTTACTCTGTTTAGTTTCTTCTAGTTTTGTTTCTGCTGTTATGACTGCTGCTGCTGTTGCTGCTGCTGTTGCTGCAGTTGCTGCTGCTGTTATTCTTGCTGCTGCTTTTGTTGTTTATTGCTTGCTGCTGTGGTTGCTGTTGTGATATTTTAATATTTTAGTATTATTTTATTATTTAAACACACACAATGCATGATATGTGTGTATATATACACATATAATATATATATGTATATTAGTATATGCAGTAATATATATTTATATATACAAATATCTAATATATATATACGTATATATATACACAAAAATGTACAACAGCTTAACAATTATTGAGCCCCTCAAAATAAAGAATATACATACTCTATAATACAAATACATGTATAAATATATCAATATATATATATATATATAGATATATATATAGATATATATAAATTGATATATTTATGTTATTCTGTTATATTTTATTTGTGTGCACAGCTCTGGGGGCAAATATGCGCGACGTTGTACCAACACTCAAACAGCATTCGCAGAGCTCTTCATCAATTTGACCCCGACTTAACAGGCAAAGTGGACTCAGAAGAATTTAGATCAGCTCTTGTTACACTCAATACTGTGCTCGCCAGGACTGAGTAAGAAATATAATATTATATAGTATAATATTATATATCTTTTATGCTGTCTATCTTTATATCTGTTTGTTTATGTGTGTATCTATGTTGCACTCAATACTGTGCTCGCCAGAACAGAGTAAGAAATATATCTTGTATGCTATCTATCTATATATCTATCTATGTGTATATATATATAAATATGCATGCATTAGTGTATGCATGCATCACAATAATAATAATAATAATAGTGTTAATATATAAATGTATGTATCTGCATTTATTTTTTTGTTGATTTGTTTAGAGCGCCACTAACAGAAAAACGAATTGATTAAAAAAATAGATAAAAATAAATAATATTATTGTTATAAATAAACAAATATATGTATATATATATACATCTATATATATATATATATATTTATATATATTTATATATATATTTTTCTTTGTTTTGTTCAGAGCGCCGCTAACAGAAGAGCAAATTGATTTGCTGGTTAACTTCATGGACTTAGACGGCGAGGGTATGGTTGAATATGAAGAGTTTTTAGATTCTTTTATTCCTGTAGATAGTTATTGTGTAGGTGCTAATGGTCTGCCTCAGCCTCCTGCTGCAGGAGCATCAGCTTCTGCTGCTGCTGCTGCTGCTGCAGCAGCAGCTGCTGCTGCTGCTTCTCGCGCTGCAGCAGATCCAACAAATGCAGCAGCAACAGATAATACAGCAGCAGATTCTCCAAATGATAAATCCTCTTCAGAAGCAAATGCTTCTACAAGAGCAAATGAAAGCAAGGCTAACGGCAGCAGCAGCAGCAGCAGCAGCAAAAGCAGCAGCAGCGAGAGCAGCAGTAGCAGTTTAGCTGCTGAAGCATCCAGTGATACATCAGCTGCACAGGGGAAGAAAAAATCTGATTCAGGAGCAGAAGCAGCAAACAGCAAAAAACAAACTGCTGCTGCAGCAACAGCAGCAAAGAGCAGCAGCAAACAATCTATGGATATAGACAATGGGTCTCGGCGCTTTACCTTCAGCAGTCAGGTGTTTAGCTAGAGAAATAAATAAATAAATTAAAATTAAAAAAAAATAAAAACATTATTAATGTAGTGATTTATATGTATAGCCACGCAGCAGCCAGAGCTAATGCTGCGTGTGCACAAGCAGCAGCAGCAGCAGCAGCAGCAGCGGCAGCAGCAGCAGCAAGAGCAGCTGCAGCTGATGCAGATCCTGCTGAGGGTGCAGAAGCTGCTGATGCTATTACTGCAGCAGCTTGTAATTTTGCTGCAGTTGCTGCTGCATCTGCTGCTGCAGTTGCTGCTGCAGCTGTTGCTGCAGTTGCTGCTGCAGCTGCTGATGCTGCGGCCTACGGAGGGCCTCCCTCGTTGGGTTTGCAAACAACAGTGAAGTTTACGAACGCCTTTCAACTCTCGTATTCGCGCTGCTGCTGCTGTTGTTGCTGTTGCTGCTGCTGTTGCTGCTGCAGTTGCTGTTGCTGCTGTAGTTGCTGCAGCTGCTTTTGCTGGTAATGCTGCCGCTGTTCTAGCTGATGCTGCTATTGCTGTTGCTACTACTGCAACAACTTATCTTGTCTAATGTAAATACGTACACCGCGTGCATGCGGTGTATGTACGTCTGATCTGTTTATATACTTAAAGGCAAACACCAAATGAACAGCGCTTGAAATATTTACGAAAATAGCTGGGGCTGTGCAGCACAGTGCATGCAAAGTGAATGCAAAATGCATGCAAAATGCATGCAATTTTGCATGCATTTATGTTTCTGCATATAATTATAAATATATATAATTATAATTAAATATATATATGGGGCTTTTCCTTCTGCATGCATGCATTTGCATGCATTTGCATGCGTGGATGAATTAATAATTAGTATGAGAGTTTGCGATTGGGGTTGAGGGCTGAGAGGTGTTTAATGAAGAGGGATTTGAATTTATTTTTTTTCTTGACAAGTTCGTTTAAACAAAGACAGTCTTCGATTCTAAAGTTGCAGTGCTGCAGCCGCACCTGCATGCACATATTCAAATAAATAATATAGTAAAATAAACAAAGAAATAATATAATAAATATAATAATATATAATTAACGCAGAAATAATACATCCATAGACAATGTAATAAACCCAAGAAATAAATAATATAATAAACGAATATCTAATAAACACATAAACAAAAAATGAACGAGCAAAGGATAGGCAAATAGATAAAAATAAAACAAATAAATAATAAAATAAATAAATAAATAAATAAATAAAACATAAAAATAATTTATTATCAATTGTCTTAAAAGCCCAACTGTAAAAACCAACAAAACAAACAAACAAACAAACAAAACAACAAAATAAGAAATGAAACAAGTTAACAAATGAATTAAATAATAAATAAATAAAACAAATAAGCAAATTAATTAATTAATTAATTAATTAATGTATTACCAATTGTCTTAAATGCCCAACTGTAGAAACAGCGTTAGAAATTTCAGCAGCGAATTGACGAACGTAAAAACCGCGAGAAGATTTAATTAAAATGATGAAGTCTGGCAACTGCAAATAAATTAAATAAATAAATAAATTAATTAATTAAATGATTAAGAAATTAAATAAATAAATTAATTAATTAAACGATTAAGAAATTAAATAAATAAATTAATTAATTAAATGATTAAGAAATTAAATTCTTTAATATTTCAATATATATATATATATATATATATTAACAATATATGATCAACTAAGTTCATTGGTTCGTTCATTATATATATATATATATAGATGTATATATATACACTTAACTGCAAATAGAAAAGAGTTAATTATATACATTGCAAACAAGAAAAAATAAGTCAATTAATTAAAGCATTTACTTCATTAGAAGTACACATATTAGGAACGAGAAATAATTACTTACAGAAATTAACTATTAGATTATAAATAAACAAATAAATAAATATATATATATATATATATATATAAGCATGTATATATATATATATATAAGCATGCATATAGAAGCATAGAAGGAAGCTTTACAGTAAATTTACTCTGATATTTGGGTGTCTGTACAGTTGAACATCTTCAAGAAAAACTCGACAGGGCTGCGGCCTCTCCACGGCAGCAGCAGCAGCAGCAGCAGGAGAAGCAGCAGCAGCAGCAGCAGCACCTCGCGCCAGCTTGTACATAGGAACGCCTCGCACACGTCGTGCTGATGCAGCAAAACCAACAAAGCAGCAGCAGCAGCAGCAGTAGCAGCAGCACAGGAAGCAGCAGCAGCAGCTGAAGCAAGAAATCAACGCCAGCAGCAGCACCAAATCAGCAGCAGAGGTCCCGCAGCAACAGCAGCAAATCCGCAGCATCAAACTCGCAGCAGAAGCAGCAGCACAGGGAGCAGCAGCAGACTAGCAGCAGCAGTAGCAGCAGCAGCAACACAGAAGCAGCAGCAGCAGCAAACTAGCAGCAACAGGAGCAGCAGCAAACTAGAAGCATCAGCAGCATGAGCTGGAGTGAGGAAGAAGTAGCAGCAGCGAACAAGCAGCAGCAACAGCAACAGCAGCAGCAGCAGCAGCAGCAGATGAAGAATAAGTAGATACCGGAGTAGAGCGGCGTTTGCTGCAGGTAAGATACCCCTTTATAGGAATCTGCAGCCTGCTGCAGCATCTCCAACGTAATATGCTGCCACGGAGACTGTCTAATAACTCGGCCCTAACCATCAACGCACACACTGCAGTAGGAAGGTTTAGGGTTTAGGGTTTAGGGTTTAGGGTTTGAGGTGTGGGGCTGAGGAACGCCCCGTACAGACATATGAAAATTGCTTATATAATATATATATATATATATATATATATATGTAGGAAAACGACGCATTCTTGGGGTGTAACGGCAACCACAGAGAGAAAGAAAATCAAAGTCTGCACTGGGGATCGAGTGGGATCGAGTGGGATCGTGTGGCATCCTGTGGGATCGCCTGGGATCGAGTAGGATTGTACGGGACATTGTGGGATCGTGTGGGATCGAGTGGGATCGAGTGGGATCAAGTACGATCGTGTGGGATCGTGTGGGGTGAAGTGGGATCGTGTGGGATCGTGTGGGATCGTTACTTCTGCATCAAGAGTGTCTGTCTCTGTGCCCAGGCGGACAACTGCGATGTACTCTTTTTTTCCTAAATACGCAGCAAATCAAATTAAACAAAAACAAATAAAATAAAACTAACAGCCAACACATGCACACGCAGACAGACGATCCCAGAAACCCCACAAGACACGATCCCATCGAAGAAGTAGCAGCAACAGCAGCAACAGCAACAGCAGCAGCAACAACAGCAGCAACAACAGCAACAACAGCAGTAGCAGCAACAGCAGCAGCAGCAACAACAGCAGCAACAGCAGCATTAACAACAGTAGAAGCAGCAGCAACAACAGCAGCAACCGCAACAGCAACAGCAGCAGCAGCAGCAGCAGCAGCAAGTTTAGAGGGGCAGCTGACCCTGTAGGAGTGTGTGGAGATGCTTTGTGCCTTTTCCGATCCCCATCACCAAAACACCTGCAGCAAAAGCGAGTACAGTACTGGTGCTGCTGCTGCTGCTGCTGTTGCTGTTGTTGCTGCTGCTGCTGCTGCTGCTTCTTTAAGAGGAGCAGCAAAACACATGAACGGACGGAAAGACACACAAACGACCTTCATGCATTTCGCATGCATATATACACCCCAAAAAAACAGATACTGATTCAATTCGTCCTGCTGCTGCACTTGCTGCTGCAGCTGATGCATCTGCTGCTGCATCTTCTGCAGCTCCTGCAGCTACAGCTGCGGGGCCGCCTCTTGGTGCTGCCGCAGCAGGACCAACACGAAAAGAAGCAGCAATAGCAATAGCAGCAGCAACGGCGGCAGCAAGAGCAGCAGCAGCAGCAGCTTCACGCGCACCTGAGGCAGCAGGGTCTAAAGTGCCTCCGTGCCCAACTCGAATCCTCTGCAACTGAGATGAGAAGGGGGAAATACAGTTTGCTGCTGCAGCTGATCTTGCTGCTGCACCATGATCAGCTGTTGCAGCAGGATCTGCTGCAGCAGCAGCAAGATCCACTGCAGCACCGGTATCTGCTGCAGCAGCAGGATCTACTGCAGCAGCAGCAAGATCTACCGCAGCAGCAGTATCTACTGCAGCAGCAGCAAGATCTACTGCAGCAGCAGTATCCGCTGCAGCAACAAGATCTACTGCTGCAGCAGCATCTGCTGCAGCAGCAGGATCTACTGCAGCAGCAGCAAGATCTACTGCAACAGCAGTATCTGCTGCTGCTGCAGGTGAACACCTCACTATATTATGTTGTAGTTGCGAGCGAAGGAAATATCGAATTACTCTGCATGCATCTGCTGATGTGATGCCTGTGGGTTTTAAGACCGGCAGCAAACCGTCTATACACCCCAAACCAGAACTCTTATCTGCAGCAGCAGCAGCAGCAGCTGCTGCTTCTGCTGGATCAGCAGCAGCAGCAGCAGCAGCACGGCTTCTTTCTTCTTTTTCTTTCTTCTTTCTACACCAACGCATCTTTTCTTCTGCTCGAAGAAACGCTACCAACTCTAGCAATTCTGCAGACGCATGATATTCACGTAAATGCATCAAAGGATAATCTAAAGACAAACCTGAGGGCCCCCATGGGGGCCCCTCTACTGGGGGCCCCTCTACTGACTCCTCTGGGGGCCCCCATAGGGGCCCCTCCTCTGGGGGCCCCTCTTCTGGGGGCCCTTCTACTGAGGCTTCTGGGGGCCCCCATTGGGACCCCTCTGCTGGGGGCCCCTCTAGGGGCCCCTCGAGGGGCCTCTGTGGTGACACTTGTGAGGGCTCCTCTGCTGGGGGCCCCCCTGCAGGGGGCCCCTTTGGTGATACTTCTGGGGGCGCCCTTTGGGTGTCGGCGGCGTGTTGGGTGGTGACGGATATGTCTGTGTACAGGGAGTATCTAGGGAAAGAAGAATAGGAGAAAGAAAGAGAAAACTGTGGAGAGTGCTTGGAGAGGTATTGAGAGTGATTGGCACTATAAGAAGTTAAAAAGGAACTGTTAAAGGCAGTACAAATATAAAGACAGCCGCAAATATAAATCCACAGATATATTTCTACATTAAAACGCATTAAAATATTCATCAAGACGTTATTATAATGCAGGAAACCGAAAATGGATGAGAGGAAACAAGAGGCTCTAAACTCGAGAAAAAAGGAAGACACCTGCACTAAAAGAGTACAGATTTAGTAGACAAGCATAAATATTAAATAAATAAAAAGAAAATATTTTAAAAAGGTTTTATTTAATGTGTTTATCGTTGTTATATTTATGATTGAAAGAAAGCGAAGAAAAAATGCATCGCCCGACGCTGCAGTGTACATACAGCTCACCGCTGAATGAATTCAAAAGTAAAAGATCTTCAACAACTGCAAAAAAGAATATTATTATTAATATCTTTTAATTAAAATTATTATTATTTTTAAGTATACTTATATTGAGTGTATAAAGACCCATTTTCTCTCGTCCGGTTGCCGTCTTACGAGCATCGAAGCTGCTACCTCAACTGTTTCTTCTTTTTGCTTATAATTGTTTGCATATCTATTTATTATTTACTTCTTAATTAATTTTTTTATTTAGAAACGCTTCAATATTTTATTTTAAGGTTTTTTATTGCTTATTTTAGCCCTATATTACCTCTTCAGGGCTCTCCTGTCCTTTCAATATTTCTTTTTCATAATTTCATACACTCTTCGATGTGCATTTGAATTACCTTTTCTAGTTTCTTTTTTATTTTTTTAATCATATTTACACTGTTTGCACCTTTAATGTTTATTTAATTCTTTTAGTTGGCTTTAATGCTCCAAAGGTGTCTTCTTCTCTTCTTTTTGTTGTTTCTGCAGCATTAACAAGGGTTTAATTAATATTTTTTATTTTAAATACAAATTGATGTCCCCAGCACCCTAACAAACAAACCCACTGAAGAAAGAGGAATAAAATTAAAAAAAGAATAAAAAATAAAATCTATACAAGCGTAGCGTGAGGTGTATATACACCACAAACATTTCGCTGTCTTTGTACCCAATCCATTACAAAACAAACACCGCTGTGCACAGCTCGACTGAGTTTCATCTCAGCTGCAAGCCACTGCGGAGCAGCAGCAGCAGCAGTAGTAGCAGTAGCAGCAGCAGCAGCAGCAGAGGCGCGCTGTAGGGCTTCCTCAACGGCAGCAGGGCTGCTCGCTTGCAGCAGCAATCGCTGCGTCTGCTGCGAGCAAATGCTCAATGTCTGCAGCACAACACCCTTAGCAATTTGAATTCTTTTTATCTGTTCTCTTGAAGCACCCTCCTCTGGTCTATATACACTCTGAGGTGTACATGCACCTTCTCCTGCTGCTGCTGCTGCTGCCGACACTGCGGTATCTGCTGCTGTTGCTGCTTTTGCTGTTGCTGTTGCTGCTGCTGCTGCTGCTGCAGTTTCCCTATCCAAGCAGCACAGCAGCAGCTGCTGTCTCCTTGCTGCTTCTGGCTCCCAGGCGTTCGTATCTATTGCTGCTGCAGTTGGGGGCTGCATACAAACAGCGAAGTGTATATACACCTCAACTCCGCTGCTGCACACACCGCTAGCAATATAATATTCAGGTAGAGACAAACAAACCCAAGGAGACACACAAAAAGAAGAAGCCCCGCTGTTGCAGCTACTCCAGCTGCTGCTCCTGCTCCTGCTGCTGCTGCTACAGCTGCTGCTGCTGCTGGTGTTGCTGCTGCTGATGCTGCTGCTGATGCTGATACTGCTGCTACCGCTGCTGCTCATGCTGCTACCGTTCCTTCCAATGTTGCTGCTGCTGCTGCTGCTCATGCTGCAGCTGCAGCAGCTGCTGCTGCTGCTAGTGCAAGGACAAGTGTGAGCAGCAAGAGGCCCCACAACATTTTTCAATTCGCTAAATATTTCAATCAGCAGCGAATGCCACGGTGCTGCTGCTGCCGGGTGTACAGACCACTGCTCACCAGCAGCAGCAGCAGCAGCAGCAGCAGCAGCAGCAGAGCACCGCGGGCCGCCTGATGCTGCTGCTGCTCTTGCTGTTGCTGCTGCTGCTGTTGCTGCTGTTGTTGTTGCAGATGCTTCGCAGCATTCAGCAGCCGCTGTCACTGCAGGCTCAGCAGGTCCATTAGGTTGCTGTTGTTGTTGTTGTTGCTGCTGCTGCTGCTGCTGTTGCTGCTGCTGCTGGCTCGGTGGTATGTTTGCTGTTGGGGGTGTGCTCCGCAGCAGAGCTGCGAAGGTCTGAACGGCGACTTCTGTTGCTGCAGCAGCAGAAGACGCAGCTGCTTCTGCAGCAGCAAGATGTTCAGCAGCAGCAGCATCTGTTGCTGCTGCTACTGCTGCTGCAGCAGCAGGACGCATCCAGCAAAGGATTGCAGCAGCAGCTGCTGCAGTTGCTGCTGCTGCTGCTTCAGCGCATGCATTAAGTGCTATATGATGCTTTTGAATCTGCGGAGTAACTGCTGCTGCTGCTTCCAGCAGCAGCAACCCCAGCAGCAACGCTTGCTGCTGCTGCTGCTGCCTCCACTGCAGCAGCAGCTCTGCTGCACCGAACATCGGCAGCAAATGAAGACGCCTATAATCAGCAAGCAGCAAATCACTCCATGCAAACTGCTTCGCTACACCTCTTTCATCAATTTGCTGCCAGCAGTAGCTGCTGCTGCTGCTGCTCTTGCTGCTGCTGCTGCTGCTGCTGCTATAAAGAGGAATACCCAGAGACAAGGGCCAAGCCCTCAGAGGCACCCACACCTCTGCGCTTTGAACTTCAGCAGCAGCAGCAACAGCAGCAGCACGAGCAGCAGCAGCAGCAGCAGCAGCAGGGATAACAACAAGAGGGTGAGCAGCAGCATTATCTGTTTGTTCATCAAATAAAATAAAGCCAAACGAAGGAAGAAGACAGCTCCTTATCCTACTTACAAACAAACGAAAGCAGTTATCAGCAGCAAATAATAAACGCTGCAGTGTGCTGCTGAAACTCAAAAAGGTATAAGGACTGCAGCAAACATCAGCAGCAGCACACCTTCCTGCTGCTGCTCCTGCTGCTGCTGATGCTGATGCTGATGATGCTGATGATGATGCTGCTGCTGCTGGTGTTGCTGATGCTGCTGCGCGCGAAAAGGAGGCTGTCGTTGCTGCTGCTGTTAGTGTTGCTGCAGCTGCTGCTGCAGATGTTTCTGTTGCTGATGTTGCTGTTGTTTTTGTTGTTGTTGCTGCTGCAGCAGCCGCTGCTGCCTGCCGCCTTTGCTGCTGCTGCGGCAACAGCAGCTGCAGCAGCTGCAGCAGCTGCTGCGGGATTAAAACATCTGCTGCTGTGCTGCTGCTGCAGTACTGGCAGTTAGCTCCTATTGCTTCCTTCGCTATTAGAGGAGCAGCCCTGTCAATAGATCTGCTGTTGGAAGCTGCTGCTGCTGCTGCTGTTGTTGTGCTGCTGCTGCTGCTGCTGCTGCTGCTGCTGCTGCTGCTGCTGCTGCTTCAGACGCGATGCGGTGACAGCTCGCTGCTCCGCAGCTGCTGCTGGCCACTGAAGCAAACAAAGAATGCCGCTGCAGCAAAGACGAAATGAATACTCTCCACTCCATTGCTGCTGCTGCTGCTGCTGCTGCTGTTGCTGCTGCTGCTGCTGCTGCTGTAGTCCTGAAGATCTGCTTCCCAAGAGGCCATACCCCCAGGCGTCAGCATCGTCGGTGCTGCTGCTGCTGCTGCTGCTGCTGCTGTTGCTGCTGATCATTATCAGCGCACCTGTTTGGTTGTCTACATAAAGTGGAGGCTGCAGCTGCTGCAGCAGGGCCTTTGCTGTTGCGACTAGACTCAATGCCTTCGTCAGCTGCTGTTGCTGCTGCTGCCGCAACATGCTGCTGCTGCTGCTGCTGCTGCTTCTGCTGCGCTGCCGCTGCAGCACGATTTCAGCTGCTTGCTGCAGCGGCAGCAGCAGCTGCAGCAAAACGGAAGCAGCAGGCCAAAGCGGTGGCTTAGGGTTACATCTTTGTAAGGTGTAGCTATGCTGCTCCTGCTGCTGCTGCTGTTGCTGCTGCTGCCGCAAGATGCTGCTGCTGCTGCTGCTGCTGCTGCTGCTGGTGACTGCTGGCTGCTGCAGCAGCAGCAAATTTTCATCGAGGAGGGGCCTCAATGAAAAGGACATACGGATTGCTGCTGCCTGTCTCAGCCGCAAAAGAACTGTCTCGCCAGCAGCAGCAGCAGCAGCTCGAGCTGTTGCAGCTGCTGCTGC